AAAAAAAAAAGAAAAAAGTGGTAGGGTGTAGCCAGTTTAAGTTGTCTTCTCACAAAATGTTTCAAGTACATTTGAGTTTTATTGAAGCTATTGGGCTTGATTTCCAGTTGTTTTGTGGTCAGATTTTTTATTAGCCCCATTGTACTCTATGAGGATGACATCAGACTCCCAAAATGGCTAGAAAGTGTGGCCTAGGGAACACTATTTGTAGAAACGTTTGCATGTCTACTGCTAAATGAAAAGAAATGTTCACTCTTCCTACAGGATAATTGGTTACAGTTTGTAGCGGACCTAATGGATTGAAACATCCATTAAACTTTTAAAAATTGCTTGCTGCTATTTACAATTTTGTTTTACACCATTTTTGTTAGGATGTGATGGTGATGTAGCCCTTAGTTCAGTAGAATGTTACCATCCTGCCACTGACAAGTGGACGTATGTTCAGCCTATGGCATGTGGACGGCATGCTTTTGGTTTGGTAGAGCTGGATGGTTGGTTGTATGCATCGGGAGGAAGTGACTTCTCACGTTCTGAATATAACAGCTTGGAACGTTATGATCCAGTCAGGTTATCATTACTTTCATCATTGCTTAAAGATTAATTTACCCTTAAAACATTTATCTGTTCTAAACAGCCACAGTTTTCCAAAAGCCAAGTGCTGTTAGCTTTAAGGAACAGATGATGTCTATGGACTAATATCCATGCAAATTTCAAAGATTAGACATGACATGAAGACAAATTGCATACAAGAAAACATATTTGATGGCAGTAAGTGACAGATAATTTTGTGGCACAAAACAACAGGAAAAATACTAGTTCCTTTGACAACTTCCTTGAAACTAGTATTTTAACAGCACTTAAAATTTGTTGAATCTGCTCTCTTCAGGGATGTCTGGACTCACATGAAACCCATGAGCACAATGCGAGAGGGAATTGCCATGGTTACTCTAGATGGTACTATCTATGCAATTGGTGGAGACAACGGTGTCTCTATATTAAACACGGTAGAAAGGTATGACCCACGGCTGGATCGCTGGAGTGCTTGTGTCGCCATGAGCTATCGACGAAGATACTTTGGTGCAGCAGTACTTAAGAGCAAGATATTTGTTGTCGGAGGGAGTGATTATGATGAAGATCATAACTCTGTGGAGTGTTTTGATCCACGTATGAACAGATGGCTTTCACTGCCTCCGATGCTGATGAGGAGAGAGAGTCCAGCTGTAGCTGCTGTTGATGACAAATTGTTTGCCATGGGAGGTGCATGCATGAATGTTGAAACAGAAAAGATTGACTGCTATGATCCTTTAACTAACAAGTGGGAGGAGTTTGCGCCACTACCTCTGGCCATAGAAGGCATGGGTGTAGCTGTAATATGACATGCAACAATTGGAATGCCAGAAGTTGGCTGTTGTTTGAATGTTTAGCTTCATTTGCTAAGAAAAAATTGCATTATTTCACAAAGGTTTTAAAAGCAGCACCTAGTGCTTGTACTATAATTATTTTATTTAAAATTAAATTAATAAGAAATAAAATAACTGTGGTATTGTGTGGACGGAGAAGTTAAAAAAAAACTTCAATAGTTGGTTCAAAAAGAAAAGTACAAAAAGAATGCTATCAAATAGACACAAACTAGGAAAAAATTATTCAATAAAATTATTTCTCTCTTAAATTTATGTAAAATAAATTACCTTTATTATAGCAATGTTGCATATTTAACTGTAATGCACTGTTGGCTTTTCAGTCCTTAACCAAACAGAAAGGCTGTTCATTGTGTTTTCATCTCATCAAGGTATTGCCTGTAACAAGAACTGTTGTAGAGTTTCTAATCAGAATCTTAAAGGAAGTAAGAATACAGCAACAAGTTACCAACGAAAGTCTAACGACACACAGCAAACATCACACACTTGAGAAAAATGTTGATACAAGAAAATATTTTATGATATAAGGGTGAAATATAGTGTCCTTTGGTCTATCTTGATATAACAAATATTATTAATATAAAATGTTTGAGTTGTAAATGACTTTTACGATAAATTAATATATTCTGATCTATTAGAATATTACAGGAGACCCTCTCTACAATGGTACCTTAAATTTATGGAAAATTAACTGAACATTGTAGATTGGTGAAGGCAGAGTATAAAATATGGACTGACATAACGTACTCAGAAAAAATATCCTGGCCTTCACAGAGAGGTGGCTACTATAGACAAGTTATTGGTAGTGGAGGTTTGACTGAGGTAATTTAATGTTTTGAATATTTATTGGCTAGTTCCACTATCAACTTATGTTATAAAAATTATATGTTTACAGAAAATGTATGACTAACAGAGGAATAAAAAAGGTTTATGTTCAATTTCTGTTGTCACTTTACATAAAATCAATTTTCTTTGTTAACTTTTAGTAGTATTACTGACACAGTTAAACCATGCATTTAAATGTCGCAATAACACTTCTTTTTATTTGGACCATTAGCTTAATGGCCATCTTTTATGTTTTGTTTTTTGGAAAAAATGTATTGTCGTGACAAAACACTATTGATTGCAATATTGATGCTTCTTTTTTTTTAATCAAAATCACCATTTACTCTGCAAGATAATGAGAAGCCCTAGGATAAGAAATATTGAAGAAATATAAAAAAATATCATTGAGCCTTTCATTATCTTCTTCAGCAGTTCAAACACAAGCAAAATCAAAATCAATTTTAACATAGTCCCATGCAAAACTATTGCTTGAAGACACTTTGTTATTGTCTCTGAACAGTCAAAGCTCTATCCTGTGTGGAATAATTCTTGAGTGATACAATCAGTCTCCATATACTGGTATTTCATATCAATGTCCAAATATACATCTAAACTGTAACCATAACTAACAGGATTTTTTTAAAACTAATAGTACACAGCAAGTTTTGTTTGTTCTCATCTTCTCTTTCTACGTTGCCGTCCTGGAGGTCCAGCTTGTGATGAAGGCCCAGCATCGTTTTCACCTGAAAAAGAAGCAGAGTTCAGCTACCAACTTGGCTTGAACTTGACCCATCACAACTCAAGTTAAAGTTAGCACAGAGAAATAATTTCTGTCAACAAAACATCATATAATCAATTGAAGGCTTTCGTGCAAAAAGGGCGTATGTGACATCTTGGGCCGATTTTTATTTTTTGCAGGATCGAGCTAATTTTTGGCACTGACTTGTTTTGACATGAAAAGCATCATTGCGTAATTGTTTTTGTTGATTTGCNAATTATGGAAAGTAGAGTGACTCCTTGTTTAAAGGGAAACCACTTTCTCGCGTGTGTATTGTCTTCATTTGACACAAAATGTTTGATGGAAGCTTTGAAAAAATAGGACAAATCCCTCACTCCTGATTGATAATCAGCATTTATACTTGGAATGGAAATTATTTTTACAGACAATGAAACCTTTAACAAATTACAACTCACCATTCACTTGAGATGGAGATGATGTTGATAGCTGAGGTACTTCATGCATCCACACCGCACCACACTGCTGGTTTGGACATGTCTTCTGAGCCCTGTTGGAATTTAAAAGCCTTGGGTGATGCACAGGATTGAAAGCAGATGCTACAGTCAATTGCATGTCAACAACAACATATTTTCCTGAATCAAAATGAGCGAGGCTAATCTATTTCATTATTACCTTCCACGAAAGTAGCGAGCAGCACAATGGTGATGAATCTTGCCATCACATCGAGTGCAACACTGCCCCTAATATTTTTAAAAGAAAGAATTATAATTATTGTTGGCTCAGCAGGTAAAGAGACAAATCATGGTAAAGAACCAGGTTCTTGAACAGAAAATAGTCTCCATAAATCTTCAGATGTACTGACCCTTATAGCAATCTCACGACACATCATGCAGTCTACTATCTGATCTTCATACACTCTCTTTAAGTATGGATAAAGTTCTAACATGGCTCTTGGTCCCAGTGAGTATGATCCTGATGTCTACAATATTAATAACAATAAAAATAGTATTTATAACATATTAGAATGTTGCCATCTATAGTACCATGCACAAGGATTAATTAAAGAAGAAGTCCTACTTCCAACATGTACCGTGCAGATTTCAAATGCAAATTTGTACCCTTGCATATAGTGCCACAACGTGGAGTTAAATGTTCTGTAATCTAAGAGAGTTGTCACAAGTTTTCAAGTAGGTGACTTTATGTGTTGGAGTAGGTAGCTGATTTTGCACTCTTTTGAAGAACTGAAAGTATAACTTAGCAGAGTAGCTGGCTTAGATGACAGAGTAGATCAGGATTTTTGCCAGCAGTGGGTTACTTTTGGAAACTCTGACTAAGGATGCTTTAAAAGCTCCCCAAAGCAACATTTTCCATGAACAGATTTTAGTGTCAGTGGTGTATTGTAAGTACATTTGTTGTGTTTTTTTTCCTTTGTGTAAGTAGCTTTTTTCTCTTTTTTTTTTTGTAACAGATTTGCATTTTAGTAAGTCCATTATTTATTACAAAAAAATTAACAAAACTTAGATACAAATTGCAAATATTGTAGCAGAACACTCTTATCAAAACCAAAATAAAATTTATCACCAACAGTTGAAGAAAAAGCTGAAGTCGTCTGTCAGCTGTTCATGTTTTCACAACTAGTGCTAAGAATGGCCAGGACAGGTCCTGTATGTACCAGAACTTCTTGTTTAGGTGAGGATACATTTCAAATAAGCATTGGCAGACTAACCTCTGACATCCATTTGTCTTTAAGGAGCCTTTCAATAAGTTCTTCAGCATGTGTAATATTCATCCTCTTCTCCAAGTCTGCTGAAGCGTTGATTACATCAAAGGAAGACACTGTACCATCTGGAGAGTCAACTATCAGATCCATCTACATAACAATACAAAAAGGCTTAATTCATTTGTGTCACATCAAAAACGGACGTGGCAAAAGGTCATAAGGTTAATCATTAATATCTCAGCAAATATTTACAGGAGAGTAATCTACTATATCTCATTTAAATGAGCATAAAAAATACTCTCTAGAAAAAAAAGCTTTCCTTCATGGAAGCTAGTAGTAATTTTTAAACAATTTAAATAAATTAAACTTCACAAAAAATGGGAAAAAATGTAAAAAAATATTTAAAAAATGTATTTCCACTCCACTGGTCAAATTTAATGTAGAAATAAATAATTTTCCTTAATTTATCAGCAAACACACCCTGAAAACAGAGCGAAAAACCATCAAAAATGAAATTTTTTAGATTGTTTTTTTAACTAATTAAAAATCTTGCATTTCCGTTACCATGGCGACAGCCAGTGGAATATTAACCCAGATCGAGTTACGTGACTGTCCTTTCGAAAAGTGTGTTTACTCAACGAAATGAAGCTTTTTTCCAGTTCCTGAGCTCTACGATCCCAAAAATGATTCAAGACACATAATTCAAGAATTATTTGAGATTGCAAACGGAAAAACGGCGGTCTGAAGGGAATTTAGTCGCCTTTGAACAACATGCGTGGATTTGCGTAGCACATGGCAAAGGTCATGCAAGCTCACTTACCTAAAATGTTTGCTTCTAATTTCTTGCTAATCGTAAAATGACATTCGTACTTACTTCAAATACCTTTAGGAATGTTGTCCACTTCAAAAAACATCTTCAGGACCTTGAAATCATGGACATCGCTCGCTCAACAAATGGCGGAAATTTTGACTTGAAATTGTGTGATTATGCATTGTCGTTCTGTAGGCCACATTGAAGTATCCCACATGAAACTAGCCATGTGCTTAGGTAATTATCTCTAGTTTTATGTCCCCAAATTTCAGGGGAAACAAAAATAATCCGATTTTTTTAGAATTTTTTTAGTCATCAATCCTGAAGCATTGAAATTTATAGAGCGTGACCGGAAAAAGTTAAATATGAGCTTTAAAAGTGGGTGGCTAAACATGTCATGGCTCCACTGAAATTAAAATGTATGTGTATACTTAATTGGCCACTCCCCATTGGGGCTTTTCAGGATCAATGTAAACAAACAATGATAAATAAATATTCAAATAAACATAACTAGGTTAAGAATCCCAACTGGCGGGAGGCAGACCAGTTGGCTATTTACAAGCACAGCCAAGAAGTTGACCTCAGGGCTACCGAGAACAACATCAGCTAATGGTCAGAACTGGATTTGAACCCAGGACCTACAGATTTCAAATCCGGTGCTCTAACCGCTTGGCCATGCTGCCTCTACGCTGCTCTTTTGACACTTCCATCAACAGAGTAAAACAACGTTGATGTAATATGCCTCTTAGCAACATGCAAAGAAGGTCTTGTCTGATAGTCCAGGGTTAGTGGATTTTGTAGTCCAGCAAGTGGATTCCCAATAAGTTGCTTGAATGTACATGCTTATTTACCGCTTTCTTGAAGAAGGCAATGTCATTTGGAGAAAAGTCTGTTGCCAACTTTGACTGTTCGTCCTCAGTTGTATTTACCTGGAAAATATTTTAATGAAAGTGATACATTATTTTAGCACCTTACTATTTACCAATTGACAAAAAAGGCATGTAAGTGGATAGATCACGTAATTTAGAAAACTGCAATATGTAATAGATATTATTTAAAATAATTAGACTCCATCCTTTTGTTTTGAATGAAAAAAAGAAATCAACAAGATGCAGTCAATTTGACTAACATCAATAGTAAAAAGCCTATGATTAGTCTTATTTTTTAACAGCCAACATACAATAGCAGTCAGAAAACTACATTTTACAGCCGCTATTTAAAGCAAGGGAAACAATATTCTCTTTCAAAGGTTTACAAATGCAATCATGGTCCAAGGCAAATATTTAACTTAACAAATAGATCCCATGTTGTCGTGCATCCCTGTGTTATTAATCACAGATGACTTCAGTATATGGTGAGAACAAAACAGTGGCACATAAGGTGATAGCTAAGTGTGTCACTGATGTTCTTAACACATTTTGACATCTTCTGTGACTAATTACCAAACAGACACACAGCAAGATGGAATCTATTGCGCAGTTTTCCAGAAAATATCCATATCCCCCC